GGCCTCTGCTTTGTGTGTGAGAGCTGTGGTCTGACTCCCCTACGTGCTGCCACCACAGGCTATTTTAACCCTTGCTGCCACACTTACCATTTAAAAAAACTAAAAGAGAAGCATATCTACTACTGTATATGAAGCCTGACTGCAGTAATAAAGACAGTTCAATTGGGCTTTGATGTATCTGAATCTGTCACACATTAATGGTCTAGCAAGGTAAACCCAGCAGCATGTGATATGCACCTCCTCAAACTTTAGAAAAAAAGACAGCCAGGTCCTTTAGGATCATTTTTGGATTGCATTTGCTATATTTGAAAATATCAATAATGTTTTTTGCTGTAGGACAGGAACCAATCAGACACTTACTTGCAGATATATCTGAGTTAAATTTGATTCCCCAGTCTTATGATTAATCTTTATTTCTTCATAATATCTGAAGAGAGAAAAGGATCATGCTTGAAAAAAAGTGCAGGCTACTTGTGATTTCCAGTTACAAATATGTACTATATGGATTCAGAAAAGTTACGTCTCTAAACCCAAACCCAGCCCATAGATGTGGTGGCGGCTTCAGTTTTCTCCTTTTAGGCTTTTTCCTTCTATAGGACATCTCCTTCTGTGACTTTTACCTCCTTTAGATTATCTCATTGTATCCTTCTTTCTCTTCCAAGTGGCTCCTGTTGAGACTTTTCTCTTTTCAGTGACTCACCTGATTGCTGGGAGTCTGTGGGAGTTCACATGGGGCAGAACAAGGAGTGCCAGCTCCATAAAAGACATGGTTTGATGAGTACCGTATAGAGCAGGGGTGCCCACAACTTTTTTGTGTTAACATCTACTTTTCAAATGACCAGCTCAATGAGATCTATCAACGAATGGCACCGCAACACACCTCCCGCACCAGAACACAGGGTAGGTGCCATTGCGCGGTACAGTACGTTCATTCCACGGGAGTGTGCGATGAATGCACTATACTTGTGTGAACGGGTCCTTAGTCAGACCTAGAACTCTTATCAGATGAGAGGTAAACTATGGGACTATTACCTGTAATGGCCAAACTGTGTCAGTCTCTCCCCTCTCTCTCCCCATCTCGACTTGCGATTGTGATTTACCAGCATTAGCTTTGCGATAAACCTATTGGCACCCCTGCCATAGAAGAACTTGACTGACCTGTACAGAGCCCTGACATCAACCCTACAGAACCCTGCGGAAAGCCTTCACCCCAACCCAAACTAACCCCTTTGGGATAAATTGGAATGCTAACTGGGAGCCAGATCTTCTCATATTTATTTTTTGAGAGGTATACAAACAAGCTACTGCAGGGTAATGCTCCTTCGACAGGTTATGCAACTCACTGGTGTCTACCCAAAACTGAAATAGCAGTGGATCCGGCCTTCAAAATGTAGGCCTGCTCTCTTCCCCTTTGTTCTTTTTTATGCAAGTTTTGTTTGTAATATGTGACCCCTAATTTTCTGACTGCGACCTAACTGTGTAATATGTGGGGTCTATTCACAAAAGGGTGAAGCGTTTGGAGAAGGCAGGAGAAGGGAACAATCTAGGACAACATAGCTGAACTGGAATGTGAGCTGAATTGGAGAATTTTTCCAAATCGGCTATTTTGTCCTAGATTGTTCACTTCTCCTGCCTTCTCCAAACTCTTCACCCTTTAGTGAATAGACCTGATAGTAATAAAGATTTGCTCATCATAATCATAAGTGTAACACTTGCCTTCCAATCATGTCCCAGTCCCGATACACCGGTATATTAGGACGCTCTTTGTTGTTATACGGTCCAAAATGACAGTTAGGTGACCCAAACCACTCATCAAACCCGTGTCTCAATGGGTGAAATTTGGGCCTGTGTCCCAAGTGCCTGTAAGAGAAGACCAACATTGTTCTGCTTACAATGATCTTTGTTCTGATCACAGCAGCAGTTGACCAGTTTCTGTGGATTACTCACCATTTGCCGACAATCTTGTTGACATAGCCGGCCTTCTTCAGTAGTTCAGGCAGCAGCACTTCAGAGTCTGCAATTCCACCCACTATCTCTTGAGGGGTGTAAGCTGTTCAAGAGAAGCCATATTTATTACTCATAACTTTCTACAAACACTACTTCACAAGTGCAACTAAATAGATAGAGTGGAGAGGGATTAGAACACCCATCAAGTGTTTATTGCTGTCAGTGTCCCCGTTAAAAAGATTCACCCTCTCTATTTGTCCTGGTGACTGTTATCACTGAAATCCCAAATTTTGAGTTGTCCACAGGGCCGGATTTACTCTCTCTGCAGCCCCAAGGCCAGGTTGTACATAACAAGTGGTGGCTTCCCCACTGTACATTTAGCTCTGCTTGCCCAAAGCAGGGCTAAATGTAGAAAACAACTACCCGCCCGAAACTGCATGTCCCGGACATCGGGTGATAGGAAACCCACACCCCTGCTGCTCCTCTACTCCCTGCTGCCACGAGGCCGGGCCACGAGGCCGGGCCTTGGTTGGCCTTGTGGGAAATCCAGCCCTGGTTTTTACCAGAATAGGAGTAGATGGGAAATCTTCCAAAAGGGACACTAGTTCTGGTGACCAACAGGAATTTGCTTCACTTTGGAGGGATTTCCTCTCACTTCCTGTTGTGTTTACAAGAAAAGAAGTGTAGGAAAATCTCCCCAATGGGACACAGATGGCGAAACAATGTCTTACAATGGGCAGAACCCTCCCTTACCCTATTCAAAACTAAAAAAAAATGTTTGGTCTTCAGTTCTACTTGTTTTAATAGAAATAGTATTTACATTAGTTTTGTTCCTATCTGTCAACAAATAACGTGTGACAGCTGGTAAGACTGGGAAAAGTGGGTGGGGCCAGAACAATAGCGCAAATGAAGGAGTGATAAAACAATGAAGAAGAATACAAAATCAAAACTGTTACAGACAGAATGTGGAATAGAAGGAAATGTGGGACTTACAAAGTTTAGTGTTAAGTTGACATTTCCTTATTGCCTTACACCACCATCCACCCCCTCCCCCCATAAATACTTACCTTCAGTTTTTGGCCAAGGTCTACCACAATGTTTACATTCTGATGGTCCAATTGTCTTCTCATTAGCCACGCATGCACATTAGCACCCAACAGACTTCTATGGGGCAGTAGAGACTTGGAAAGCATTTTCACAGACGTCCACGAGGGACCAGCAAGCTCAGCCAGTGGGAACAAGATTTGTCCTAATTGATTTAAACAGCATAGCGGCCCAAGGCTGCAACATTTAGGTAAGTATGCTGCTGGGGGGGAGGGAGGTTGATGTAGGTCGGCGGGTAGGCATGTAGGGTTTCACTGAAACTATACTTACACTAATATTGTAGCTGAAGGTATAATTCTTCACATCAATCAGACAATCTATGACAAGCACTGAAGGCAAAACTCCTCTTACCGTTTCTGGAATGGGCATTCGTGGTGTAGAAACCATTCCGTACCGGAAGACGTCCCGTTAATAAAGCTGCTCTCGCTGTACAATAAAGACATATCTTTAAAGGATTGTTCTACCCAAAATGGATTTCAATGATAGGTTGATGTTGTTAAGCTGAATCCCCCACTGACTCGAGCCACAGGGGCCAGTGGGTCAGCATTAGAGCCAAGCAACTAGCAGTTGTAGAAAGGGTCAGCAGTGGCAGCCCCCCCATATTTCCCTCATGACAGGTTTACTTTAATTACATGGCTGGCGTAAAGTTAGCGTTCCTGCCCACAATGCAATATAGGCAATTCTGTGACCTACTGAGGGGCACTTGCACTCTATTATTATTATTAGGGATGCGCCGATACCAGTTATTAGGGATGCGCCGATACCAGTTTTTCATTACACGCTGCCCGGCTTCGTGATTGGCCGGCTCCATGCTCCCTCGTCACCAAGTGACAAGCAAACATGGAGCCGGCTTCCCGACCATTGAAGCCGGGCAGCGTGTAATGACTCGCTGCCCAGCTTCCTGATACCGGAAGTTCCGGTATCGGGCTAGGCATCGGAGCAGTGGGCGAGTACGAGTACTCGCCCCAAATACTCGGTATCGGCACCGATATCAATACTAGTATCGGTGCATCCCTAATTATTACTATACAGGATTTATACAACAGTCTTATGCAGTGCTTTACAGCATAAAGGGAGACAGTACAGTTATAATATAATTCAAGACAATGTGGTTAGGTGAGCCCTGACCGTAAGAGCTTACAACCTAAAATTGGGGAGGTTAAGGGGAAAGGGTAACTTTTCAAGAATCCAGCAGTTGCATATAGGCTTGGATATCTGTATTCTAATATAATGTATATTTATTAAGTGTTGAGGCAAAGATTGGTGGCAGCCACATTTGCATCCACGTAAAAAGTGTAATCTGAAAAGCAAGGCTGGATACTGTCACCATGCTTATATCTCAGATGTTGTATATGTTATAGTGTTATTGCAAGAACCTAATACAGTATTACTGATGTTATCTGGACAGTATTATCATTTTTAAAGCTGAACTCCGGGCATAAAAAATGTCAATTAAATATATTCCTAAAAAGCCACTTTGTGTGCACTAAATGCCTTTGTAAATCAAATTATTAACTTGTATTGCAGTAATGGCATCATCTTTGTGCTGTATATAACCTGTACAAAGAGCAGAGCTGTGGGAGGGACCCAACAGGCCCATCCCAACAAAGAAACTACAGGAGGGGGCAGAGACAAGACCAGTCACCCTGCACAAGGAGAGAGAGCAGCAGTGAGCGGGCTTTATTACAGGAAGTCTCACACTGGATTACTGCACAGATCTGAAGAAATACACAAAGCTCACCAAGATCCAAGGAAGAGTACACATGATTCTTGTATGAGGACAAATAATATACTTATGCCGGAGTTCAGCTTTAAATAAATAAAATGGGATCCAGATCTCCAAAACAAGTTCAGGGCACTGAGAGAAAGACGTGGTAGAATGTGTTAAGCAATTCTCATTCACATCATATACTCACATGGGGAACATAAAGGATTCGCCGTGTAAAAATCTGGAAACAGCATCCCCTCCGCTGCCATCTGGTCCAGATGGGGGGTCTCTTTCGAGGGCTCACCAAACACGCCCAGGTCTCCCCACCCCATCTGTACAAAAAAAAAATATTAATAAGCCTACTTTAAAAAATGAGGGACAGTGATATTAGAACGAGTGACCTGGTTTGGAGTCACATGACCCCACGCCACACTAGGGCAATTATGTCATTAGAGCCTTTATGCAAAATGAAAGAAAACTCTGCTGACCTCATTGCACACAGTGTAGAGTTGCTACAGATCACATGACCTGATGGCTGGTTTACAGCACCTCCCAGTACTGGAGCAGAACACAATCATCTGCAAAAGCGGGCAGCTAAGTTTCTGCTTATTCTAATACTTCAACACCCCCCCACCCCCACCCCGCCCATACCTTCTTGGGTGATGAATGCAAACCTAATATGTGAATTTTTCACTGTCATCCTCAATCCCCCCAAGCATTTTACTTAATGGCATTTTCTCTTTTTGGGGAGCTGTGAGGGTAATGAGGTCTGGGCACCCCAATACTAATTAGAAAGTCCCTTGTGCCCTTGCTGGCAATAAGCCACTTGTGGATATGAATAAAACAGATACCGATCAGACATTCGTATTTATGGGTTAAAGCTCTCCATAAGAGAGGGTGAGGCTGAGAAATGTATCGCCTTGTCCTTGTGACGGCTCGGTGGGGTCGGAACTGCGTGTAGACACGTGTTGGTGACATACAGCGGGTTCGGACTGGCTGCTCCGTCACAGGAGGTACTCGCTCCCATGTCCTCATTCCTTGCCTGGTCAGAGCAAGGCTATAGCTATGTGTTATGTGATGGGGGCCATCACCGATAGAAGGATCGCAGCACACACCGTCTGTACACTGCGGCTGCTGCCATAAACATTTACAGAGCGGCCACTAGGGATGTGCATGAGCTTCGTGTGAACCAAATTTGCCAAGGCACATCCAAAGCATATCAGTGGCACATCCTCCTCCTGGCCCAATCAGCTGTGACCTTGCAGCTACCCATACCAAAAAGTAGCAGGGAATGCCCCGGCCACAGCTGATTGGGCCAGGAGGGGATGTGCACATCCTCCTCCTGGCCCAAATGAGCTGTGACCCTGCAGCTACCCGTAACAAAGGGGCGGGGAATGCCCCGGCCACAGCTGATTGGGCCGGGAGGGGATTTGCCACTGACAGTTTTGTTACGGCAAATTTGGTTTGCACCAAGCCTATGCACACATCACTAGAGCGACATGAGGGAAGATTGCAGCGCAACTACAGAGGCAAACAGACAGAGGAAGTGCCAAGGATGACAATGCCTAATGATGTCACAAGAGATATTACTTGTCATTGGCCGAAGCAAAAAATGCACAAAGCATAAAAAATTGAAAAAAGTATTAAAAATGCAGACCCACTAATACTTTTACACACCCTCCCCCTATACCTTCCTGGTATGCAGACCCACAAGTGTAAACCTACAATTCTGGGGGATTAAAAGAAAAGCTCCAGGTAATACGGAATATTCAATTACAAATACATATGTTTGCTTCTTTCTAGGAATAGCAAGATCTGTGCACACAAAGGAATTTACCCCGATACATCATCCCAGCCCTCCCATCGTTCTTACATCGTCCATTAACAGCAGGATGATATTGGGCCGGGTCCCATTCTCTCCCAGAACCGGTGTGAGAAGACACAGGACACTCAGGTACCAGACAGATGACATGACAGCAGGCAGCCAGGCAAAAGATCACAAGTCTTTAGGTCAGCTGACAGCCAGGAAACAACTTCTAGACCAATGAGAAGTCACAGCTACCGTGGTCACGTGATTGCTGGAGTACCGACTTCAGTGAGAGGACCAACATGGCTGCTGCAGGAAATTGCAGTCGGCTCTGTTACAAAGAAAGAATAAAGACAGGAAATATTAACCTTTTTTTTTTTCCTTTTCAGCACTGCAACATTTCATCCACTGATAACGTTATGTATGAAATTCGGCTAAAGTGGAGAACTTTTTTTGTGAAGAAGTTCTAAAAATCCATTTGCAGATGTTCAGGGGGCAATGAGTGAAAAGTGGGAAAATATAACTAGTGTAATTACACCAGGGGACACTAGATGGCACTACAATATCGGTCATTTTCGATGCTGACCCCTGAAATGGTAAACCTGGGCATACAGCAATAGAATTTTATTCCAAATAATGTGTTTTTGGAACGTTTGTTTGATTTTCTTATAGTTAATGAGGTCAAATCAATGAACGTGTTTGACTGCAATGACGAAAAAAAATCCACTCTATTTGCCCTGGTGATCGTTATTACTGAAAGTGAAAGGAAATCCCAAATTTTGGGTTGTCACCAGACCAGGAATAGATGGGAAATCTTCCTATGGGGCAGTGGCGTCACAAGGGGGGTGCGGGGGGTGACACCAAAATAACTGACAGCTATTTTGGTGTCACCCCCTCTAAAAAGTCGGGCACTCGGTCATGGACCGAGAGCACAACAGTGTCAGGAGAGAGGAGGGGACCCAGCGGCATCCCTCATCCTGCTGAGTCAACGTCCCCTCCTCTCTCTGCCGGCGTCCATCACCAAGATGGCCACCGGCAAGCATCAATTAGATGACTGCGCATGCGCAATGGTGTCACCCGGTCTCCGCTCCGGGTTACACCCGGCCTCGAGCCGCTCCTGCCATGGGGACACTAGTTCTGGTGACCCTGCTGACCACCAGGGATTTCCCTCACTTTGGATGGATTTTCTCTTACTTCCTGGTGTGGTTGTTGGAGAAGAAGTGAAGGGAAATCTTCCTAATCAGAAGGACACTGCAGAGGGCTGACAGGTGTTTTATCCCTCCCCTACTCTATTCAAAACGAAACAAATTTGGCCTTATTTCTGCATTATTCATGCATTTCTAGTGACTATGTAGTCACAGATGCCTCACAACTTTCTAAGCATGGGAAAGAGCGACACCCTTTAGCATGGGAATATTTGCACATGTGTTGTACCCCTCATGCTTTCATCATTGCAGAAAACAAACTTTCTGGAGGTTATGTGTACATTGTTTGTATGATCTCCCCACATTTCCATGGGCTTTCCCTACAGTAGACCCAAAGGTGTGTGTGTGTCTATAGGAAGGTAGTAGGGATGGTAGATTATAAGCTCCTTGGGGGCACAGAATAGTCTATATCAGGGGTAACAAAACAGTGGCCCTCCAGCTGTTGTTGAACTACAAGTCCCATGAGGCATTGCAAGGCTGACAACCACAGGCATGACTCCCAAAACCAGGAGCATGATGGGATTTGCTGTTTCACCACAGCTGGAGGGCGGAAGTTTGCCTTTCCATGATCTTTATCAGGGGTGGCCAAACCCGGGCCCTCCAACTGTTGTGGAGCTACAAGTCCCACGAGGCATCGAAAGAGTGGCAGCCACAGACATGACTCCTGGAGCCAGGGACATGATGGGATTTGCTGTTTCAGCATAACTGGAGGGCTGAAGTTTGCCTTTCCATGGTCTATATGCTCGGCGGCAAAGTGCAGCAGAATATGTCCACGCTAAAATGAATAGGCGCCATATGAAGTCGTGAACCCGATTGGTTGAAGTGGTGCAATACCTGACAGAATGGGGCCCTGTATAACAAGTGATGTCATTTGGCATCATTATGTAGAACTTTCCTCTCCAGGTGATACAGCTCCAGTGACAGCTGGGAAGTCACAGCCGCTCACCATGACAGCCAGGTCAAACATAGGCTGAGCTTGCACGCCCTAGAGATTCATTAATTCCCAGTGCCAGACCACAGAGGAAATCCTTCCACCTACCAACACAACACACCAGGAGCTGAGATGATGATGATGACAGTATGGTGTCTGTGCCAGCGAACATTTATTGAGGCTTAAATATTTATTCCTGCATGTGGCTATTAATACAGTTTCATAGATGAGCAGGTCTGCATCATTCCCCCAGATACCCTACAAGCTCATAATGCTTTGCTATAGGCAAGCTTAAAGCTGAACAACGAGATGAGCAAATATCTAAAAACAAGAGCCTGAATCTTGGTGAGCTTTGTGTACTTCTTCCAGATCTGTGCAGTAATCCAGAGTGAAACTTCCTGTAATAAAGACCGGTCACTGCTGCACTTTCTCCTTGTGCACAGTGACTGGTCTTGTCTCTGCCCCCTCCTGTAGTTTTCTGCAGACAGCCTGTAGTGGGTGGGTCCTGGTGGGTCCCTCCCAAAGCTCTGCTCTCTGTACAGGCTATATACAGCACAGTGATGATGTCACTTCTGATTTTAAAAGGTAATATCCAGGTTTGCAAATATATTTGTGGATTTATATCCTTTGTGTCTATTGAGGAATATATTTTAGTCATAGTTTTTCTGCCTTGAGTTCGGCTTTGAAGGTTTAGCAGTGGATGTGGGCAGAGTCGCACAGCTTTTAAAGGTGTCAGGCAGGGCCGGATTTACTCTCTCTGCTGCTCCAATTAGGATTGCCACCTTTTCTTCAAGCAAAATCCGAACACTCTAGTAACGCACTGAATTATTTTGGGGAGAATGAATCGTAGCTTATTTATATGTAAATAGTGCCGCCCATTCACATGTAAATATAACATTTGAGACTATTTTCAGTGGGGGGACCATAGCCCCTATCTTAATTCTAGTTGCCCCTGACTGCCTGACATCTTGTGTCTGGGTTTCTGCTGCCATGAAACCTGGACACAGCATTCACAACCCGGACTGTCCGAGTGAATCCTGGACAGGTGTCAACCCTAGCCCCAATGCGCCCCCCTGTATGCAGGCTGCATACAAGTGTTCTCGGCAACATCACCCAGATCACTTGTACAAAACAAGCGGTGGCTTCCCCGCTGTACATTCAGCTCTGCTTGCCCAAAGCAGGGCTAAATGTAGAAAACAACTACCCGTCCGGTGCCCGGAACTGCATGTCACGTGTGTCGGGAGATAGGAATTCCACACCCCTGCACCCCTGCTGCCCCTCCACGCCCTGCTGCCCCAAGGTCGGGCCTCGGTTGGCCTTGTGGAAAATCCGGCCCTGGTGTCAGGCGCTGGGCTGCAAATAAATCTGACCATCACCATTGAAGGTGGCGTTAAGTGTGAATTGGCTGTATTTATTGATTCCACTGAATCTCCGTTTTTCAAACACTGTGTTTTGCAGTTACATCAGAGTTCTGTCAAAGATACAAATCCTGTACTATGAAAAATTGCTAAATACAGGACACAAATACCAATTTCCTGGCATATCTCCCCTATAACATACACCTCTCTATTGGCTAGAAAGGCATAAAAACAGAATTAGGGGGAGGTGTAAGAGGGCGCCAGAGCTCCAACCTCAATTAAATGCCCAGATTTGGGCACTCCGTAAGATAAGCATTATGAGACAGGGTGCCTCTTGGTGCCAGATTAAAAAAATAATTTAACCCTTGGGCTACACCCACACTGCAAAGGTTAAGTGCTTATTTTGGTCTAGGAGCTAACATAAAGAAAACACATTCAGCTGATCCTCAGTCTTGTGGCGGTCAACTCTCACCTCTCTCCCCCTCGCTCTGGTGGCGCGATGTCCCTCAGTGCCACTGCACTAGACGGGATGACGTCATCGGTCCTTAGATCGCCGGAGCCCGGGGAAGAAGAGGCTGTAGGAAGCGATCTAGCAGCCAAGCAGGACCAAGGATTAGGTGAGTATATTTTCTTTATTTTAGCTCCTGGACCAAAACAGGCACTTAACCCTTATAGTGTGGGGGGAAGCCGACAGGAAGGGTTCATTTCGTCTTTAAATCTGGCACCAAGAGGCACCCTGTCTCATAATGCTTATCTTACCGAGTGCCCAAATCTGGGCATTTCATTGAAGTTGGAGCTCTGGCAACCACCCACCCCTTGCACTGTAAAAATGAACCCTTGCACTGGGGCTAATAATTACATTTTACATTTGCTGGAGTTCTCCTTTAAGGTTTTTGTCAGGGTTACTACCTCCCAGACGTGACAGGTTTACTTATAAACACTGTTTTATGTCCACAAAACATATCTCATATCAGAAGATCTATACATCATTGGGCTTACATGCAGGAATTACATCCTCACTGCTATTCAATGTATACAAATAACAGGCAACAAACCAAAAGGTAAAGGAGTTCAAAGGTGCCCTCAATTATTTATAATTCAATCAAGCAAAAACATCCAATGCGTTTCGGGGGCAACAATACATCAGGATAAGGACTTAAAGGGACTCTGAAAATACTATGACCACATGGATCTATATATGATTGGGTATAAACTCTACTTTAGGACTGGAATTGTAATTGTATACGCAGTGGCATCCTCACTGCTATAGCACATGAACCCCCATACTGTGCACAGCAATGGCTTCCATTGGCTCCTTGCAAAGGGCGCTTTTTGGAAGTACAGAAATAACACACAGAGGTCCTCAGATCACTCACAGCAAGACGGTGGCAGGCCGATTCTACCAAACTTCAGATAAAGACTCGAGCTGGCAGTAGGTGTGAGTGTGTCATTTTTAGCACCCTATGAAATATGTCCCTCCTCATCTACTAATCCCTACTGGAAAAGTGGGGTCCCACAGAAGGGAAAAACACACATCTGTATCACCATATTCTATTCCCGACAAAACATTTCTCCAGAGTGCAGAGGGTTAATAAAGTGCAGCTCTTTAGCCTGGTGCTGCTGTATTATCAGGCCCAGGTGCAAATATGAATTAACCCCTCTGCTGCTACTAATAGATGGGAGGCGTTCCAATGACAGTTTCGAGGGGGGAGAAATGTGTCGGAGATGGTGCTATGTTCACAGATGGGTGTTTAGAGATTTTTTCCGACTGATGCTCCCTCTCTCGGCTTGGCTGTACAGTCCTCAGGGGCCCGGAGCACAGGTGTGCTGTGCACTTGCTTCATTTACTCTAATTGCCCCTTTGGTATTGTGCTGAAGCATCCGGTGTGGGGAGCAGCTGTGCGGCAAGACACCGAGGTCACATTCCTGATTCTGCTGCGACCTGCGAGACCCCAGGCCTGGTGGTGTGTCATATGTCCCTGACTGTGTGTAGAGCAGCATACATGCACCCATCTGTCTCACTCAGAATAGACTGGATGCCTACATCTATGACTGACACCCTCGAACCAGGCTTTCAGTATGAAAGGCAAAGGCATAAACACAGAATGCACACATCAAGACCCTAGCTTTTTATATTGCGCAATTCCAGGACCTTGTTGGGCCAGACCACCCTGTCCCTCTTTCCTCCTCAGTTGTCCTTATTTTTGGTCTGATGTTTTGACCTCTATAAAAGAATGTTCTATTAAACTACCAGAAATGTTATTCTACACTAGACCTTTCATCCAACATCTAAATGAGTTTGCATTTGGTATTTTCAAAGTGTTACAGAAATGTAAAGGTGAAAAAAAAGCACATGTGGATTTACACCAATCGTTTTTGGTTTTTAATTCTTCATGTGACAGTGTTTTAAAGAGTCGGCCTAGCCATAACTGATATTCCAGTAGCTTGTAGAAGCTGGGGAGTTAAACCACTGGACATCTCAACAACCTTTTTTTATACCTCTTGTGGATTCCATTTGGGCAATCTTTGCGATCTGAGTTCAACTGCCGTGGCTGGAGTGAGGGCCTCCGTTCTCCAAATGTATTATATATTTTGGAGGAAGAATGTAACAAGACAAGGTAGAAAAATGCAAAGGGTACATGGTAACACCCAATACTCCCAGAGTGGCAGAGAGATTGGTTGCTTGAGTGTTCAGGAGACAACTTTGGTGCAGTTACAATTATTTTGAAATCCTTCCAACCCCCCTCCTTCCCTTTACCACAGCTTGGGTCTATCACCCAGTATCTAGGCACGAGTATTGTCACATAACTTGGGGGGGGGGGGGGGTGACAATACCAATCCCCTAGGTTGATGGCACTAGTCATTTCAGTGGCTGCTGTGAGAGAGGAGGAAGGAGAATTGAGGGATCACTGGTAAGGTGAGTATAGGGGGTATTTAAGGAGAGTATAGTATACCTTGCATAGGTATGGAATAGCATGCAGCCCTTTCCCATGTAACAATGTTTGGGCCTGAGCGCCCAATCACCAGGCCCAAACACTGTCATGTGTTGGAAGAAAAGGGACGTCATTCACCCAGGTGAGCGCCAACACTGGAGCTTCCTCAGGATGGACTAGTGCAGTGATGGCGAACCTTGGCACTCCAGCTGTGCCAAAACTACAAATCCCAACATGCATCTGCCTCTGGGTGTTATGCCTGTGGCTGTCAGAGCCATGCAATGCCTCATGGGACTTGTAGTTCCAAAACAGCTGGAGTGCCAAGGTTCGCCACCACTGGACTAGTGCATTGGGGAGGCATGCTCCCCATACCAAGAAGCCCTGCTCCCTTACAGCACTGGGATAGGAAGACGGCATGGGGATCAGCCCTTGCCTGGTCCTTCCCTCTTTCATTGATCATAATGGGGAGAATTTGCCCCTGAACTGACCATTTCTTCCCATATGTATATGGGAATATTGTAGATTATAGCCTGGGCTTTCTGTAAATGCCTTGGCCTGCTAAAACCTTCATTGTACACATCCTTTTACAGCTTGTCTTTTAAGGTGACTGGTCAATCGTAAAAAGATATTCACCACTCCCAAATGGTTTGCCCAGCAATATTCTATTGAGGAGTTGTTCCTAAAAAAGATGGCTGTCCCTGTTGTAGAACCTGCATTTTACTGTGAGCATGCAACATTACCAATTTGTTGCCCTTCCCTTTGGCCTGTCCACTGCACGTTGGGTGTTCACCAAGGTGACAGCCCCTTTTCTTGTTCTGCTTGGCTCTCATGGCATCCCAGTAGTGGGATACCTGGACGACCTTCTTCTGAGGGAACGCTTGGTTGCGGGTCTGTCAGCCAGTGTCCATCGTACCGCGCAGATAATACAGATTCAGCTGAATCCCAAATCTCTGGAAACCAGAGTCTAGTCTAGTAGTGCACACCGGCTTTGTCCAGGGGCCTTTCTTCCCACAACAAACTCCAATCTCTCTGCTCGGATGCAGCTCCCATGTTTCAGAAGCTGCTATAACATGAGGGTTTTGGGTCTGAGGATGGCCTCCTTTGAGGCAGTTCCATAAACTCTGTTCCACTCCAGACCATTGCATCTCAGCACTCTGATGGCTTTGGACCAGCGGGCTCAATCTCTGGATTACCCTAAGCACTCGATCCGGCTTGCCCTGACGTAGTCCTACGTACTGTCAATACAGGAGATGTCGTCATCAGAAGAAGCTCAGCTCCTGATTAACATTCTGGAGCTCAAGGCGATTCAGATGGCTGTTCAGCACTAGACCTGCAAGGTCACCCAACAGGGATGCAGCCGAAGCGCATCTGATTCTGGCCTGGGCAGAACTAAACTGTCCACATCAGACAGACATTTTACAGGGCAGCGTTATGCATCGTCGGGGTCCTTACTAGGGTTGCCACCTGTACGGGATTCACCCGGACAGTCCGGGTTTTGAATGCTGTGTCCGGGTTTCATGGCAGCTGAGACCTGGACACATGATGTCAGGCAGATAGTGGCAACCAAAATTAATATAGGGGCTACTGGCCCCCCACTGAAAATAGTATTGACTGTGATATTTACATATGAATGGGTAGCGCTATTTACATATGAATAAGCCGCAACTCATTCTCCCCCAAAAAATCTCTATGCATCGCTAGAGTGTTCGGGTTTCGCTGAAAGAAAAGGTGGCAACCCTAGTCCTTACCCTGCGCTTGAGGAAGCCAGTGATCCCTGTAGGCACTGTTGGTCTTGGAGCAAGAGGGTGCTTTGTGTGCAGAATGCACCCTCTTTGCTATTTCCGGAATTGTATCTTGACACAACACCGGGAATTAGGCAGAGTAGGTACCTGCACTGAGCTCCTCTATTGAGGGCACCTGTAGGCTTGTGCCTACTCTGCCTAATGGTAAATCCAGCCCTGGCTAGATAACCCCCATTATATTAGGTAACCCTTTTATTAAATAAACACAGCCTTTCCAAGCCCAATAAACTTTATTATTATTATACATAATCTATATAGCGCCAACAGTCTGCGCAGCACTTTACAATGTTATTCATTTATTTTATTGTGTTTTCATTCCCCGAGTGTGATCTCTTGACCACTAGCATTGAGAGCGTTCCTATGTCATGGCAAATCAGTTCATTGGTTGCTATGGTTAACTACACAGGTTGCTCTAGGTAACCGTACAATTGCTGTTTATTTTATCTGTATGACAGGCAGCTCCTCCCTCTATACATCTCACCGCAATGAACACAGTATTTAAGCTTAAACACACACACAGGCTTTTAAATGCGTTTAAACATCCCTTTTGTCTCCCTGTATAATTACATCTGTGTGAATAACGAGCGGTAAAGTTAGCACGGTAAACTCCCTGCCGCAATCGTTCAAATGTGCGAAATTGAACCCGCGCATGCGCAGTACATCCAGGGAACTCGGGATTTCATTGGGAGCCTATTTTGTTGCTACACTGGTCACATGACTACGCTGTCTTCTTTCTCGCGTCGCCTACGCCAGGCGGTCACGTGATCCGTAGTGCACGTCACGCCTTTAGAGGACCAAGATGGCGGTGTGTGTAGCTGTCATTGCTAAGGAGGTGAGAATGAGGATGAGGCTTATGGGCAGCAGAACCGACTGGACTCTCCTCCATGATACCTTTTCACTGTTGTGGTATCAGGGAGGGGCGGGGCCTCGGTATAGGTCAGCCCCGGAGAGGACATATACTCAGCTTCTTGGTGTCAGTGTTGCTTTGGACTTGTAGTTCATGTGCAGCTGCTGCTCTGGGGAGGATTCCTAGGTGGAAGGAGGATTAACCTGCCCCATGTCTGGGGGAAGGATGCCTAGGAGGGGGAGTTTACCTGCTTAGATACTAAAGGTCAGAATATATAGGTAGCTGGTGCATCTTCTGCCTACAGCAGCCCCCATGAGTCAAGCAGGCCTACGCTACTTGGCTGCCCCCAGGTCTCCCTACACACTGCTATAGTTCCCAAATGAATGGGCCGGCAACACACCTCAGTGGTCCAAAAAAGACAGCCGCACCTTTTCTGGCAGCCCACCTCTGTCGGAGAGGAGCATTGGGGTGCCATTCAGAATGAGTCGGTGCACATAGCTTGTGGCACGCAGTATTAAAGGGGAAGTAGCCACCCTCCTCTCTCTCTCTCCCCCCTCCTCTCTCTCTCTCCCCCCAAGGGAAGGAGAGGGGAGCGGGCGGGCACAGCTGGCTCTAGAGAAGCAGAGCCAGCTGTCAATCAGGCATCCAGATGGATCCCATTCAATGGTGTATTAATGGATATGGAGCTGCATTACTATGTACTATAATAAGACAAATATGAGCTCTTGCCTAGGTGCCGTCTAAGTATTTAATTTTCATTAAAGAAGAATAAATATAGGAACTGATAGCTTGGCAAGAGAACTGATGAATGGTGTAGTATAAATGTTTTGTGGGAGCCTGTAAACTTGAGAGCCCATAAAGTTTGGATTGGAAAACAATTGTTCTGAATATAATGTCTTGCAGAGACCCCCCCTCCACAGGCATGCCTCCCACAGGCAAGAGGGATGGTGTGATTTGTAGTTTCACCTCATATGGGGGCCAGAGTTTGGCTATCCCTGACATAGACCCTCCCTGCAGAGCAATTGCATTCCTCTCGAATCTTAACACTGTTGTGTTTAATCTCCTCCACTCCATTTTACTGTCAATGTGAAAGTATATCCAAAGGCAAAGTCTTATTATCCCGTTTCAATTCTCAGAAAGTTATTAGCGTGCGCAGAGTTTTAAATTGAATTTTTTTACTCTTCCAGAACTATCCATTATACATTCGCAGCATCCCCACGGAGGACCAGTTAAAGTTCCATTACACAGTCCACACCTCCCTGGATGTGGTGGATGAGAAAATCTCGGCTATGGGGAAAGCTCTGGTGGATCAAAGAGAACTTTACCTGGGGCTGTTGTATCCTACGGAGGACTACAAAGTGTATCCTTCAGTTGTGACTCATTTCCAGAACACGGCATGGCTGAATATATGTCGGAGTAGGCAATGATGTATTGATGTGGCTCCAGGCTGCAGATGCGGAGTCTTCTTGTAGCCTTGAGTCCACCGCAAAGACGAGAACATCGAGTATTTACCAGAGAAGTAAAGCCAAATCTGTGTATTGACTTTACTTCTCTTTGAAGTCACTGGAGTACATTTGTAGTCGGGTGACCCAAAATCAGCAGATAGCGGGTTTATGCCTGACATCAGCTGAACTGCAGTCAAGATGGATCCTGACAATATTGTCCAGATCAACCTTGTTCGCTTAATTGACAGCTGGCTCAGCCTCTCCAGCCATTTTGCCCGTTTGCAGTCATCGTAAGCCCGCCCCTCATTACAGTCATCGTAAGCCCGCCCCTTAGGGGGGCGGGCTTGCGATGATCGATAGTACGATCTGCCTGTCCAAGATGGGCAGATCGTACGTTTTTTTAAAGTACTTTACAACCATCGCAAGACTAAGGTCTTGCGATGGTTGTAAAGTGTATGGCCACCTAAATACTAGGTGAGGCTCTGCCCCCCTGACCGCACGTCCCTCCCTTGTGGCATATTTGTATTTATTTAATGGACACAATTGAATAGGTGCAGCTGGAACACATAAAGGTGGATAGGCATGAGGCGGGGAATATCTCACTGCTGGGGTATCCCGGGCTGAAGTAACCTGTCAGGCTCCACTTATAACTAAAATCTGCTAATAGCTACTAAACTAGGAGCTGTTGGAGTCAGCTGATAGGATGAGCTCTGGTCACCTTTTGCTTCATGTTTTGTCCCTCTAGTACCATGAAGAGCTCTCCTGTAGTGATGATGGAAGACAAGAGGTGGGTGTCATGATGGAAACTCATGGACTGTGTCACCAGTGGGTAATAAGAGGAATACTTTCCACTGTGCACTGCAGGGATTCCTAGATGAAGGCTGTAATGGCTTCCTTCCCAAAACTGTTTGATCCCTCAGCTTTCCTCAGATATGGCTACGTCACCAACTCCAAAGTGAAATTTGTCATGGTGGTAGATTCCTCTAACACGGCTCTCCGGGACAATGAAATCCGCAGTGTAAGTATAGGGAGGTGTAAAGCAGGCTGGAGCTCGTAGATGACAGAGGCAGCTGACCATAAATGGACTGAACTCTTGTTTCAGATGTTCCGCAAGCTTCATAACTCCTATACAGATGTCATGTGCAACCCCTTTTATAACCCCGGAGACCCCATTCAGTCACGGTGAGTTTTTTTTCTTACCATTTGAGAGAACATGACCTGCATTTATCAAAATATGAAATGACAGCTGTCTGTGTAGCCCCACGACCACCAATAAGATTTTAGCTTCAATCTTCAATGACAACTTGATCATTAAAATGGTATGCTAAAATGGTTATTCTACCTTCTCTATAGATCTAGAAATTTCGATACTACTCAGCACCATCTAGTGGGGCTAGTGCTGTGTGAACGGCATTCACCCAGTGTGCATTTATAAATTAGACCCTAAAGGTGCCCATACACCTTACGATTATCATACGATAATCGTATGAGATCAAATTTTCGAACGACAATCGTACGTGTGAATAGAGTGCCCGAACCGACATTACTGTACAATCGTACGACTTTTGACGGTCAAGCATGTTTGAAAACTTTGCTAGATCGTACGATTGTCGTAAGGTTGCTGGCGTTTCCGTCCGTCAAAAGTCGTACGATCTACACTGCGCATGTGCGAACGAAAATACGACAAATCAATTACCGCATTTCGTCCAGGTGCTTTTCGTTAATTACGGCTAAATTAACCTGCGATCATCGGGGCAGGATGGGGCTGCCGTACGAAAATCGTACGACTATTCGATCATCGGACGAAAAGTTTCGTCCGATAATCGTAAGGTGTATGGGCACCTTTAGGGTGTCAGTCAGGACATTGTCGAATTCCTCCCGGTCCAGAAAACAGTCTATGTTGGTCTAAAATTTTTATTGAAAATGCGATTTGCCTTGTTGACTCTGGATTCAACTCTTTGGAGACACGGAAAACCTGAGGAGCCCAAAGCTCACGAGAATGCGCTCCTACGGGATCCCAAAGCTCACGATAACACTCCTACGGGATCCCAAATCCCACCAGAATGCGCTCCGACGGGATCCCAAATCCTACCAGAATGCCCTCCGACGGGATCCCAAATCCCTCCAGAATGCGCTCCGACGGGATCCCAAATCCCACCAGAACGCGCTCCGACGGGATCCCAAATCCCTCCAGAATGCCCTCCGACGGGATCCCAAATCCCACCAGAATGCCCTCCGACGGGATCCCAAATCCCACCAGAATGCCCTCCGACGGGATCCCAAATCCCTCCAGAATGCGCTCCGACGGGATCCCAAATCCCACCGGAATGCGCTCCTAGGGGATACCAAATTCCACGAGAATGATCTGCTATTTACAGTTGTGAGATATAAGATCCTCAGCTTTCCCAAGTCCTACAGAAAGTCTGAGTGGCCATCACCAGCACCTTGGCAAAACAGCCAGAAGCTCAATATTTTAGTGATTTAGGTTGGGAGGTTACTGTATAGCTCAGATGCTTCAGACTACAAAGTCCCCATTAAAAACTAGTCAGCAATGGCAGCTGATGATTCTAAACAGGAACAGTGACAGATGTTCTGTGACCACTCAGCACCCATCTAGGTCCATAGAGCCCAAGAACAGTGGGGGACTCTTCTATTTTTTTTTTCTTTTAATTATTTAACATTTTCAAGTATAAAACATAGAGAAGGGAAATACTGATCATGAATACAGAGATGGCCATCGAAAAATATAAAACATATAATGAGAAGAAAGAGAAAGAAGAAACGGGTCTAGGGAGGATAAAGAGAGAGGACGCAGCACCATGACCCGAGTGCACTAAAGAAGCTGTAAGAACAGTAGAGAGACCAGCACTCAGAAGGCTGTTCATCAAATCCTTGTATTAATTTATTATGATGCAGCGTCACATATATCAGTATATCCAACGTTTCGGGGCCACACAGTGTCTCTTCATCAGGGCGACATTGTGCCCTAAGGCAGTGGTTCTCAACCTGTGTAACCTCAGGACCCACATTTGTCTTTAGTCATTAAGTTGCAACTCAAGTCATACTGCAATGGAATGCATGACATTGCAGGCGGGAGGTGCGTTTGGGGTGCCATTCAAATGATTGGCAACTCAATGCACCTACCGCACCTGAACGCGTAGTAGGTGCGATTGCATGGTACAGGGTGTTGATCGCACAGGACTGTTCGATTAACGCACTGTTCTAGTGTGAACGGGCCCTCAAAAACACTGAAAGACACACAATCTCTCTCACACATATACACCCACTCTCCCTACCTTACGAGAACTGGAGTGGATCCCCAGCCTGCGGTCCGGTGTGGGCTGCTGTGCTGTGATAGAGCTCCATCCATATGTGCATTGCTTGTACAGCTCCCTTGCACACCCTATAGAGGTGCTGGGAGCCAGAAAGTGATGTCACTCCGGTCCAGGCACCTCTACAGGACATGCGAGGAAGTTGTAAGCAATGCACATATGGATGGAGCTCCTTCGCGGCCATAGCTCCAGCCTACCCAACCTTAAGCTGACACTCGGCGAGAACTGACAGCGCTGCACTTGGGGGAGGCGGAGAAGCCTCTCACCTACTGTAGAAAAGTGGAAGGCACGCGGCGACCCACCAGTTGAGAACCAAGGCCCTAAGGAATCTGGGTGAATTGAAGGCAAATTCACGACAGTAGAACCGGGGTTTCTTAAACTGATCCTCTGTATTGTGAATTGCAAGCGGTCAGATCCTCCATCTCACATTGAGAAGATAAGTCAGTCTTCCTCCGGGTTTTGTTTTGTTTTTTAACATATGTAAGACATTTGGTTTTAGATGTCTGTTAATAATTCACTACTCGTGTTTTTTTTGTTTTAGGGCTTTTGACAACACAGTCTCCTCCATGATGGTGCCCGCATGCTGAACTACTTGTGAAGATCTTGTATATAGGGGTTTGGGGCTGTGTGCATGTGTGTGTGTATATATATGTATACTCTAGTGTGAAGTGTGGATCAGGGAGACTGTACATAAACTGTGTAAAATTAAAAGACCATTAATAATATCACCATCTATCAGTTTCTGCTCCGAAGGGTATCTAAAGCTTTTTATTACGTTTTGAACAGAGTGGTCAGAGGTTAGGACCCCTGTGAGGTCTTACTGCCGTCTCTCCCCATTAGGGAAAACTTACTGTATTTGTCCTGGTGACCATCGTCACGAGGGATAATCCAACATCTTGAACCGGAACAGAAGGGAAATCTTCCAATGGGAAACCTTTTCCAGTGACATTTTAAGAAGGCATTTCCCTCACTTGGAGATGCCCGGTTTTATTTTTGTGGGACAGGAAGCCAAGGAGAACTATCTAATGGAAAACAGATTGCAAACAAAAAGCCTGGCTTAGATGCAAACCATTCCCTACTCTATCCAAAATGAGAAGCTTTGGCCTACATTGAAATTAGGGGGTAGAGATAAATCTGCTGAAATGGGCAGCAATGATCTACCAAGCTGGGCTTGGTATACAATAGCAAAAAAGGAAAGGCATTTGTGAAGGAAAAATACTTATTACCGTATTTGCCGGCGTATAAGGCGACTGGGTGTATAAGACGACTGCCTCATTTTCCACTTAAAACATAGGTTTTGGGCTATACTTGTCATATAAGACTACCCCACTTCCGAGGCAACACCATTTAAAAACATCATGGATGGATGTGCGGTAATACTGTATGTACGGTAGCTGCAGCTACACACAGTATACCGCGCAGAGCCAATCACGGCGAGCTATGTATTCTATTAATGAATACAAAGCCTGCTCGGATTGGCAGAGGTTGTGTACATCGCTCGCCTTGATTGGCTCAGCTACTGTATGTAGCTGAAGCTACCGTACATACAGTATTACCGCACATCCAGCGGGCTGACAGATTAGGGATGTTCGTTTTGGGCCAGCTTGGCCTAAACTAACTAAAGGTATACATTGTATACCCCGCGTATTAGACGACTCCCGATTTTCGGGGGATGTTTTGAAGTATAAAAAGTAGCCAGCAAATACAGTACATCCCAGGCACATTGGAACCACAGCAAAGATACAAAGGGATCTGTGGTCTGATGTGGATAAAAACTGCATTTGTAGCCTTGTGTATAAGGAAGAAAGCTAACATCTCCCTGAGAATACCATGCCTACTGTGAAGCATGGTGGTGGTAGCAGCAAGTTGTGGAGATGCTTTTCATTGGCGGGTCCCGGCAAATGGGTCAGGATTGAGGAGATGATATATTTTTGATCAAACCGAGAGATGGGACAAAATACAGGGCACATTTTTGAGGGAAAACCTCTTTTACTCCACAAGAAACAGAAGTAGAGGTTTACCTATCCAAATATACAATTCAAAGGCACATGGAGGAGGTTTAAAGCACACTTGAACTGATAAAAATAAATTAAAAAAATACACAAGCTGCCATACTCATCTCTGAAAAATGCTAGTTGCCTGGATGTTATGTTGATCAAATCTGCAGATCCGGAAGTTCTAAAGTCACTAGCTAATAAACGTTTTTTGTTGTTTAGAAGCGCCAAGGGCAATCCTTATCCCTCACAAGGGAGGAGTGCTAAGCATATGTGCAGGGCGCAACCCCAAAACAGTCAAGGGAACTGGAACATCTGAAAAAAAGCACAAAAGGGGCGCCTTTCCTAGTGCAGATTTGTTTATTCCAATAAAATCATCAAGAATGTACAGACAGGTACTGACAATATAGAAGTAAAATCGAGCTGCAGAACAGTGAAGACGGAGCAGTGCAAGGATCCGTGTAGAACATCCTGTATCAGAATCACTGTCGTGTCGACGCGTTTCCAGGGCACGCCCCCTTCACGTTCTGATAAAACGTGTCGACACTACAGTGATTCTGACAGGACGCTCTACACGGATCCTTGCACTGCTCCGTCTTCACTGTTCTGCAGCTCGATTTTACTTCTATATTGTCAGTACATTCTTGATGATTTTATGCTTTTTTTTTATACTTTTGTGCTTTTTTTTTTTTTAAGTCACTAGCTGCATGGGCCAGAGATAGCCAGGCTACTAATATTTGCAGGAGCGTCCATATCTGAGTATAGGTTGCCTTCAAAAGAGAACTCCACGATTATTTTTATTTTTTTCACTCCCTTAGCCCCTCCAGAGTTAAAAAAAAAAAAAATTCCTACCCTCTCCATGTTCTAGCTCTGTCCCCGACATCCTCCTCAGTCTAATACCAGAGGAGGAGACCATCACGTGCAATGCATGACTATTAGCCCTGCATTGTGAGTGAACAAGATGAGGGCCCCCCACAATCCAGAGCATTGGAAAGAAGAGAAGAGCGCCGGCTGGTAGGGTAGTGAGTGAGAAGGTAAGTAAAAGTGCTCTATACTAGTACTCTAGGCAAAACCAAGCATTAAACTCCGTCCACTGCAAGGGGCGTTATTCCATATTCCCAGAGTTTAGCTTTTATTCCCGGTTGCAACAGTACAAAGGGAAAAAATAGGAGGTTGTTGATCAAAGCACCTATTAAAAGAGAACTATGAGGCGAGTGCTTTTCACTCACCTCATAGTTCTAGCCGACATGTGACAATGAGACTGTCACAGGTCAGCTCAGTAGATCGGGAGGTGAGCGAACACATACCGGCGTTCGCTCACCTCTCGATCCTGTCACGGCTCTCTGCCATGACAGGGGGAGGGCTGGATTCCCCTCTCCCCGCTCCGATCCGCCAGCGCTGACTGGCGGAACGGACGGGGGATGGGGCGGGTACAGCTGGCTCTGCCTCTAGATAGGCAGAGGCAGCTGTCAGTCACGCAGCTGGGCGGATCCAGCCATAATTGTCAGGATCCGCTCCAGCGCCTCAGTATACTGCGAGCAGCAGCTCGTGGTATACTGAGCTTAGGGTGACGGGAGGACGCTAGTTTGTGTCCTCCCGTTACCCTAAGGAGAACTATGGGGAAAAGACTTAACCCCCTAGTTCTCCTTTAACATGCACCTAAAGCACATAGGTGTGCATAGGGCCTCGTTACAACCTCATGCAGGAATAGAGCAAGGTTACCAAGGCCACACATTACAATCAGATTACATTTGCCAACAACTTTGTATTGTGAGGTCCTTCCTGATTGATATCAATTGAATTGCTGGCCTCTCATAGTACATATGCAGCAATAAATCTAAAAGGAGTTTGTACAATCAGGCTGTAATATGTGAAGCATACAATGTAATCTGAGGCAGGGCATGTAATACCAATATACAAGTGTTGCCGTTATGCTGTGTGTATACTGTGGAGTTTAGAAAATACAGTGCAGTATAGAATATTTAATGTGAGGAATATGGTATAAAGACAAATGGTGTGGAGCAGGGGTAGCCAAACTGCAGCCCTCCAGGTGTGATGAAACTACAAGTCCCATTAGGCCTTGCAAGTCTGACAGCCACCGACATGGCCTACTGAGGCAGATGCATGATAGGATTTGTAGTTTCCCCACAGCTGGAAGGCTGCAGTTTGGCCACCTCTGGTGCGGAGAGTATACTGCCTACCAGTGTCACGTATTTAATGTATGATGAACGTAAGTTGCATTTTGAACCATTAAATGTACAGTGAACATGAACTGTTTAAATGCCCCATTTATGCTAAATGCCTGAAAAAGGTTTTATTCACACTGAATGTGAAGCAGATATGAAAGGGTTAATGCACAATATGGTAAAGAGTGCAGCAACTGGAGCTTGCCTAGTTAATGTTCATGAAATTAAAATTACCCTAAGGGCCTGTTCACATGAGTTTCATGTCTGGATCAGGTGCGGATCTGCAGACGCGGTGCTATGTGTTTTTGCCGCTTTTTTGATGCGTTCCAGTTTAAAAAAAAAAAGTTGTTTTTTTTTGCTGGAGTGGGGCTGTCAGTCAGTATGTTAGCTGCAGTGCAGTGCGTTTGATGCGTTTTGCGTTTCTTGACCGTACAAAATGTGACATGCAGTATTTTTCTGTCGTAACCTGAACGGACTGCGCACGTGAGAACTGTAGCCCATAAAACACATAGGGATACATTTTTATAGTGCAGGAGCATATGGATCAGGTCAGCACAGAAAACAGACGTCGTGTGAAGAGGCCCTAACTCCGTATACAGGAAGTTAAAGTTGCAGTTAGCCTGGATGCAAATGAACACCCAATGCCTGTGTTGTCAGGAGCGGTGGACCATCTGTGTTCCACCCACTCTTCCAGCAGGAGGCGCAATGGATTTAATAGGAACAATGCTGCTGGAGTCCTAGGAGTGTAGGGACCACTGCTGGTCTCCTTCCTAAAATGCTAGCGACCTGGCTTCAAACTCAGACCTGAAACAACCATGCTATGGAGTAAGAGTAGGCAACGTCAGCACTCCAGCTGTGATGAAGCTACAAATCCCATCATGCTTCTACGAGTCATGCCTGTAGCCGTCAGTCTCGAAATGCATCATGGGACTTCTTGGTTTCACAACAGCTGGAGTGCCAAGGTTGCCTACACCTGCTGTAGAGTGCACCATTTCCTTATTTCAGGCGTGACTCCAAAAGCATTTAAAATGCATTAACATGACAGTCAGTTGACCAACTTCCTCACAGGAGAGGTCAGCAATGGCTTTCCCCATATTTCTATCCGGTCAGCAACAATAACCTGACCCTTCCATTTTCAGGATAGAACAAGCAGTCCAAAGAAAAGTCTTCTAAGCAGTTTATTTTATAAGAAACTATATTAGTATTTTTTACAACACAACTTGTAGTGCCATTTGCAAACTAGTTTTCCATGTGCGGGCATTCTTGTACATCAAAGTCTGTAAAGAAACAAGTACATGAAGGCGGATCCAAGTTTCCCGGTTCCCGGAGGCTCTTAATGTCTCCATTCATGTAAAAGCAGGACTCTAGATCTTCTGCATTTTGGCTCCTGGTGCTGGACAGCCATCATTGCTAGACCTCATCTCCGCAATGTTCAGTATGGGTTATTCCAACGGCCTGACCTTCCATGTCCTCTAGGAATGAACAGAAACGTGCCTTACAGTGATTGCCAACAGCATGGGAACATTTTTATAGTTTCATTGGAGTTGGTGTCATTTGTGAAGCCTAATGATCCCGCTGATCCCACCAGTCTAAAGCTGGGCACACACCTTAAGGTCCCCACACACCTTACGATAATCGTACGAAATTAAAAAAAAACCGTACAATCTGCCTATCTTGGACAGGCAGATCGTACTTGCGATGATCGCAAGCCGCGCCCCCGAGGCTTTGCGCACACTGGCCCGTCCGGCTTTTCTATTACGAACATGCTACACACCCGCCAAACATCGTACGATGCTCGGCGGGCTTTCGAACATGTTCGTAAGTTAAAAGTCGTGCGACCTTACAGTAGTAGAGGTCGCACGGCTTCCACACCTTACGATAATCGTACGATCGCGGGATTTCCCACGATTATCGTAAGGTGTGTGGGGACCCTAAAGCTGGCCATGCACCTTACAAACATCGCACGACTTTCGTTGTGCAATGGTTGCAAGGTCATTAAAATTTCGTACGACCTGCTCATCTTGGACAGGCAGATCGTACTTGCGATCATCGCAAGCCCGGCTTGCTGAGGGGCGGGCTTCCGATGATTGCAGTGCTGAGCGGGCAGTGTGCGCTTGCGCACACCGGCCCGCTCGGCATTTGTCTTCTGAGCACGCCACTGTGCCTATCGTACTATTTTCGGCGGGTTTTCGAGCGTGCTCGGAAGACAAAAGACATGCGACCGTACAGTAGAAACGGTTGCACGCCTCCCATACACCTGCCGATTATCGTACGATCGCGGGATCACCCGCAATTATCGTACGTTATCGGCAGGTGTACGGGCACCTTTAGCCTCCAGGTGTCATATAGGAGATACACAGCGCAGCAGGATAGGGGGGAGTAGTATGTTAAATAGATAAAAACATAAAACCTTTGAAAATTTCAAAAAAGGAGGAAACGCCTCGGGCTAAGGACGTTCTTATTGTGATGTCTTCAATAAAACAATATCAGGCCGTGCGCTGTCCCACTAGAGCAGGGGTGGGCAACTCCGGCACTCCACTTATTGTGGAACTACAAGTACAATGAGGCATTGCAAGACTGACAGCCACATGCATGACTCCCAGAGGTAAATCCATGGTGGGATTTGAAGTTAAAGCACAGCTGGAGGGCCAGAGCCCAGCCCTGCACTAGTGGGTAAATCATGGCCTGCGGAGTGCTTTGCCCACTTGTTTTCAACACTGAATCTGCATGGATCAGTATTGTGCGGCATTATATTTTTTTCTATTGAAGTTGCATTTGGGAAGTGACGGGACTCGTAGCTGGGTCCACTAGGCTGCCATTTTGGGACCTGGGTGTAGCATCTATAAAGAATTGCTATTGCATGGTCTTTGATCAGGGGTGGGCAACCTCGGCACTCCACTCCAGTTTTAGAACTACAAGTCCTATGACACAGTCCAAGACTCCCAAGAGCCCCAGATGTGACTCCCACAGGTAGAGGCATTATGGGATTTGTAGTTTCACCAAGGTTGCCTAGCCTTAGATGGTTTTATAGGTTTATTAATAGAACAAATATACTACATGATAAGGGTCCCGGCTTGCTGTGTTTCTCCTATAGGACACTGGGAACCCGGAAGCCAACAGTAACGGAAGCAGTCGCTAGTGAGAAATCACATGGGGGTGGAGGAGGAGATAGCATTGCTTAACACCATAAGATCAATGCAAGCCTGACCCATAGTTGCTGTTATGAGGAGTGCAAGGAGAGTGCAATGTGCTATTAAATTGCATCCTTCTATAGATTATGAATACTGACCTGTATGCCCGCCCTCTGGACCTCTGTCCTCTGGGAGCATTTCCTCTGGGTGCCCTGGGCCTTCCTCGAAAGCTGCCTCTGTCAGTAGTGCTGATTCCGGGCACGTTTGTCCTCTTGGGTAGTACCTGATGGGCAAGCAAATTTCCATAACGCAGACATACAACTCAAAAACCTCTTGGTAGGATTATCATGAGAACAGTAGGCCATTGCCGCCCAACACGTGTAAATACTGTACTGCTGCAAGGTTATTGCTTCTACTCAGGGTCTGTCTCTGCTGGCGATGGCAAACATATTGCCAATTGAGAGCTATTTCCTGGGCACAACTACCCATCTCTTTATCACTCTGAGCCAATTACAAACACCTCTGCATTTGACCCAGCTGCTCAATAAGTGGTGCCACATGCATCTTACTTCCAGTGGTGCCAGTGCCACATGCATCTTACTTCCAGTGCTGATACTACAAGTGGGTTCATTGCAGCAGATGACATGTGCAAATGTACATGGGCACAAAGAGTGGTTTCTGGCCAAGCCAAGTGAAGCCAAGAAATCAGAATACAGGGAGGCCATTAAGGAGGATGTTGCATTGTAGCAGGTATACAGATACTGACACCATCAAAGCATGTTATCCCAGTAGGGCCACTAAAGGTAGTAGGAGAGTACAGAGCACACTCTACTGCTGTTTTCCTGCGAGATCCTGATGGGGACATTATGGCCAGGTGGTACAATGGTAAGACAGCCAAGCACATACACGTAGCAACAAAAGGGTCTCTTTATGGTCTCCGTCAACCTATATTGACTCTAGTTTCTATGATTGGGAAACCAGTGTCTCCTCCATTGCAGACCATCTGGGCCCTTTTGTCCTTTAAGGACCTGCAGTATATCTGTTATTAGCGGCAATTAGAAGAATAAGCCAGTAAATGGGTGATCACCACCATGTCATAGCAGAGAAATGACGCAGCAGACATTAGTATTCACCAGTGATATAGCAAAGAAACAGATTACTGTTCAGGACCAAATATCCAGTCACTTCAGGGTCCATCCTTACCGATGCATTTACATATGCACAGCACTACATCTGCATCTATAGATCTTTTAATGGAAGGTGCACAATATGTCCTTACAGTCAGAAATGAGGAACATACCAATGTATATATGTATTTGCGGTAACTGAGGACAGATCATGCGGTCTCTATTCACAGATTATGCTTTAAAAATGTAGCGGCATAATGGTTACTGCAGTATGATAAATAGTTGCAGGGGTCCTTTGTCCAAGAAGATCACCTTAATAGTTCGTCCACGGAATACACTTTCGTCCAGTTCTACGGCAGCTTCGGCTGACTGCTGTTCTGCAAATTCGATATATGCATAGCTGGATACAAGACCGAAAAAAGAAAAAGAAAAGACTAGATTAATTGCAGACATGAAGGAATGCAGTACAATGGGTCTTAGCCGTTATCTGGTTACCATTAAGGTTTTTGGTTTTTTTAACACCCCGGCCCTTTCCCATTCTATCCTGAACTGAACCAGCATTTTCTAATCTTCCATCTTTTATTGTCCCCAGAGTTACCAGCTCCACCTTCCTGACCATTGCACAGTCTCGTCACTTCCCAAGCCCAAGCTTTAATGTCATGTGAGGTTCCATCTTCAACAGCTTTAGGCCCCATTCACACTGAGCGATTCGCAAATCGCGCGATTTGCATTTTGCGCGATATCGAGCAAATGGTTGCATTGAGCAAACTAGAATCGCGGCAAAATCCGCTCCAAAAAAGGGTCCTGCTGTAGCGACGCACGACCCGCGACAGTGACGGACAGAGCCCCATTGCCATGCATTGGAGAGCGATATCGCGCGGATTACCGCGCAATAAATCGCTCAGTGTGAATGGGGCCTAAGGCCCCATTCACACTGAGCGACATGAAAATCGCGTGATTTTGAGCGATATTGCGCAACGTCGCACGACTTTTTCCTATTGGGCTGTATGCAATCAGGAGCAAAATCGCTCAAAATCGCTTGAAAAAAGGGTCATGTAGGAGCGACAAGCTACGAGCGACGAGCTACAAGCGATATTGAGCGACGAGATGTGAACAGCTCCTTTAAAATGGATTGGAGAAGCTACATAGAGCGATATCGCGTGGAAATATGAGCGATATCGCTGCAAAAATCGCACGATAAATCGCTCAGTGTGAATGGGGCCTAACTGTTGCTAGGGTCTTTGATTCAGTCCATCAGCATCCATCAATGACAGAGATATCAGCTTAGCATGAACAATCCCTTAGGGGGGTTCTACAGTCCCAGCATATCCTCTTCTGTTACAACATCAGCATTGTAATAGGAATACATGCGAGAGTTGTTTTTGATAATACAATCAAAGCTTGCTTGAAAAAATCCCTTTTATGTAGTGAATGCTGCCTTCCATCTGCCCATCACTTCAAACAACACCCTGGATTCCCAGTGTGCTTTGCATCTCTTTCCCCGCTGCTTAATGTGATGCAATTTCGATTTCTTAAGACTACATATCCCACCATGCATTGCTTCCAGCAAGCAATGATAATGTTACATTGTTCAGACAGCAGGCTCTTTGAGAGTTGTGACGCTAGAATTGCATATTCACAGGGCTGAGTAAAATTGTGCCAGTGCATTGGAGAAGTACACCCTATGGAGATATTCAGTAAGGTTACAAACTTCTAGATCAATATGGTTATTAGGAGTGGATTTGAGTTGCCACCTTTTCTTCAAGCGAAACCTGAACACTCTAGCATAGCACAGATTTTTTTTGGGAGAAAATACAGGAGACAGAGCAAGGAGAGCATAACTTAGGTTGCCTTACACTGACCACCAATGTAACGGAGGTATTCTCAGTGACCGCCAATGTAATGGAGGTATATACATTGACCAGCATGGAAGTGCAGAATTTGCATATCAATTAACCTTGATATTTACATATGAATAAGAAGTCACAGCTTATTTATATGTAAAGAGTGCCATCAGTTCATATGTAAATATCACAGTCGAATCTAATTTCAGTGGGGGGGCCCAGTAGCCCCTATCTTAATTTTGGATGCCCGTTTGCCTGACATCTTGTGTCCGGGTTTCAGCTGCCATGAAACCCGGACACAGCGGACTGTTGGTAACCATAAGTGGGATAGAACTTAAAGGAAATTCAATATAGAGATTTCGTTTTAATTTTTGACCATAGATCCCTTTAAATATGAGGCATATTCCCAAAAACTTATTTTAAACCGATTCATTGTTCTGTCCATCCAGGATAAGATTCCCACAGTCCTGCCAAACAGCAGCACAGCCAGGCTGGTGACATGAACAAACTCTCTCTACAGCAGTTGAGTTAAAAAAAATAAACATGGAAAAAATAAAAATAAATAATGAATATAGCGCATAAAGCTGCGGTGCAAGTCATTTTGTGATTAACAATTACCTTTGCATTTTAAAACTGCAGCTGGTGTAAATAAAAAAATTCAATGCAATATGGCAACCTGGAGGCGTCTCTGTACACCGCTGATGTACACAGCACCCCCAGAAATGTCACTTCCTGCTTCTGTAATCGTCTGACTAATATTCCCAGAAGTCTGCACTAAGGTCTCGTTCACACCTAGGCGTATTGCATATGCGCGTCTGGCGATTCGCGGTAAAAAAGTCGCGCGACAAACGCACGTTTCCGAAGGCTACTTACCTGTATCCCAATGGAAACGCGCAACAAAACGGCCCAAAGTAGTACATGTACCTTTTCAGGCGTGGCCGTTTTGTAGCGCGTTAGGGACGGGCGGAAATACGCCAAGGTGGGAACGAGACCATTGAATACAATGGGATTTATATTTTTGAGCGTTTTGTAGAGCGTTCGTCGAGCATAGAGGGCTAAAATGCAAGTAGAACTTTTGGCATCCTGTGCAATAGGAATTTCATTTTGGTGAGAAACTCCCTAAGCCCTCGTTCACACCTGAACGTTTTGTAGCGCGTTCTACGCTCGACGAACGCTCTACAAAACGCTCAAAAATATAAATCCCATTGTATTCAATGGTCTCGTTCCCACCTTGGCGTATTTCCGCCCGTCCCTAACGCGCTACAAAACGGCCCACGCCTGAAAAGGTACAGGTACTACTTTGGGCCGTTTTGTTGCGCGTTTCCATTGGGATACAGCCAAGTAGCCTTCGGAAACGCGCGACGGTCGCGCAACTTTTTTACCGCGAATCGCAGTAAAAGCACGCGCTACAGACGCGCATATGCAATACGCCTAGGTGTGAACGAGACCTAAGGGCCAACTACTTGTAAAGGGATGCCAACACTGCGCCTTCCCTCATTAGAACACGGAACGTCCACCAGGTGATAATGACTCAAGTGCCCGCCCCTGTCCGTTCTTCCAGTCAGCGTTGGAGGATCGGAGAGCGGGGGGGGGGGGGAGTCCCGGAGAGCGACGGTATGTGTTGAGCCGACATGTGACAGTTTCACTGTCACACGTCGGCTTGAACTATGAGGATGAGTGATTTTTCACTCAGCTCATAGTTCTCCTTTAAACCTTTACAATGTACACAGATCACACAGAGGGGATTGATCTTTTTTTTTTTTTTATCAACAAAAAATGTAATTACTCGTATCTCCTTAATGTTCGACTTTAACAATAAAATGAACAAACATTGCAAAGCAGTGTGTAATTTTTAGAGTAACAGGCCAGAAAAAAAAAATCACTCTTACCCTTTAGGGTGGCCAGAGTATCGGTCACACAGAATGGTTATTCGGTTGATGGATCCACAACTACTGAAGTGAGATTCTAGATCCTGGGCTGTACCCCCATAATCCACCTACAGTGTCAGGAAACACAAGTGATATATCCTGGATCATAGATGTAGGCCTAGGAAACCTCAAACGTTAGAGGGAACATCAAAATTCAACCCCATCATGCAGATTTGTTATACTGAAGTCACCAAATCCTCCTAGGTTAGATCGAATCACTCTCCTTATTTTCCCTGAAGTAGAATGTCCAAAAGAACCCTTTGAGCTCCTCATCTCCTGTCACCCACCACTTCTTCCCTCTTGCACTTCACAATAGCACCTCACCTCTTCACCTGTCCCCCGCAATAGCACCCTGCATCTTCACCCCTGTCCCCCGCAATAGCACCCCACCTCTTCACCCCTGTCCCCCACGATAGCACCTTTGGACTATCTGTGATTAGTCGATGGAGTGAGATTTCCTACTTGAATGGTGACTGGTTTAGGTCATTACATGGATAATTTTCCTGACCAGAAAAAGTCCAGTACTTCCAGTCATCTGTAAGCACTATCCCCATGGACAGTAGTCTTCTCCAGGGATCCCAACCTGAAATAAGTCATTTCGGGGAGGTACCCTCTGTCAACCCCCCCCCCCCCCAAAAAAAAAATGGTGGACAGCGGCCCTGATGTCAGAAAAAAAAAAAAACTGATAGCAGGGAAAGGTTTACTCTGCTAAATTGAGCAGAGTAAACTTTTCCAGGAGAAAATATATTTCTCTCCTGGGTGGCCGGGAGCCGCTATCGAATAGCGGGAGACTCCCGGAACATCCGGGAGAGTTGAGATGTCTGCTTCTCTGGGGTTAAATGTATAGAACTTAAGTTTTTATTTTAGTTATTTAAATTAGTTGTTACATAATTAGGCAACCAATAAGAAGCCACACACAAAAAAAGGCTCATACTTCCTTTGTTTCAAAGATAAAAAGTATGACTGGAGACACTTGTTTCTTTCGGTGATAGAAAGATGCAGGTGATGGAAACCAAGCTCTGAAAAGGAAATCTTCTCATGTGCTGGTCATACACCACCCAAATTTAAGTCAGGAAATTTGATCTATGGGTGGCCCTGTTGGTACCCCTCAACCAAAAGTCGTTTTTTTCAATCGACTTTTGACAAAGGTACCAGGCCAAATATTGTCGGCTGAACAATGCCAATGAGCTGCAGTCACGGGTATTCTGACAGCCAGCAGCACCAATTAGAATGTATGGCCAGCTTAATTGTTTCATTATGCAGATACGCCTTTATAATTCCAGGCCGTGGATCTACCGACGGTCGGTCGTTATATATCTGGCAGGCATGTTATTACACACTTACATTGCCAACATATACGGAGCGTTTATCAGCCTCCCGCTTCTCTTCTACGGTCATAGGACGAGGAGGACCTGAGAAACGAATACAAATTGCAGTGACTTTTCCAAGGTACGTGGATGAGGTGTCATGGTGCATATAGAGTGTAAAAGGAGGAATGTCAAAACTTAAATTAAGCCCTTACCCATCATCTCAGCTTACCCCTAAAATAAGCCTCCCCTACTAACCTAGAATCCTAAATTCCAACTCCAGCTCTCTAGCCCGCCCACATTCTACTTGGAGCACCCCCATTTTTAATCTGTATATACACATACTTTTTTCCAGGTGTCTTCGGTCAAGTGACATCACAGATCCTCTTCGTCCAGCAGTGGGCAGATCCTGATTGATGCAACCAGTGGCAACATGTCATTGCGTGGCACCACTCTATGAAGCCTTCTCCTGCGAATCCAGGGCGATGTGATAACACGCCAGCCAGGGGCCGGGTCCTTGACACCCTGGGCCTCAAAGGAAGTTGCTTGAATGACCCATAATCTCAGATTTACCTAACCCAAAATCTCAACCTCACCTAAACCCCTAAAGTCACGCCACATACCTTTTCTACCTTTTTTAAAGATAGTGAGGGGAAAGGATAAGAACACCTGTTGGGTTTTTACTGCTATTCTGGGCTCCATTAGAGATTTGCCCTCACTTACTGTCCTGCTGACAACTAACCAGACAGGAAGTGAGAGAAAATCTGCGACAGGGACATAGAAAGAAAAATCTGACAAGGGCTCTGGCCTTCCCCAACCACAGAAAAGCATGTTCATTTCTGTGTTGCTGATGGAAAGTTCCCCTCACTTCCTGTCAGGTAAAAGATTAGCACTACAGGAAGTGCAGGCAAATCCCCCGAAACCCCAAATAGGAGACCGGTGTTCTAACTCTTCCTACTCTATCCACAATGAAGATGCATTTTGGACTGAACATACACTTTAGTTGAACATTTGTCGTCCCTGAAAAAATTGCTAATTACCCGGCTGTCATGCCAATCCTCCTTCCTCCTCAACTTTAGTGCAAGCCAGAGGCTCTGACTTCTAGGACTAACCCGATGCAATGGCAGCCCCCATATATCCCTCAGTCCCCTAAATCCATGCTTACCTTGTGGGGTTGAAAGTACAATTTCTGTCCCACATTGAACATAACCAGTGCTGTGCTGAGATATACGAGTTACCCTATCTTGGCACTGTGAGCGATTATTTCAACATTACCCCCATTCACTTACCCAAAGGACTCGTGCACACTGCAGGTGCAATTAGTGCATTGTTCCCTTACAAAATGAGTAGATATGTCCAAAAAGATACACTGACCTTGTGATATAAAATGAGCTTAAAAGATACACTGACCTATGAAGCTTATGGAGCAACTCATCTTCAAATTTCACAGTAAAGAAGCACTGGATTTGTTCTCTTAGCAGTTCAGCTCACTCTGCTCCCCCACCCAACAGTGACTCATCAGCCCAGCTTCCCCTCCCAGCAGTGACTCATCAGCTCAGCTCCTCCTCTCGCTTCTAGCAGCAACTCTGCAGCCTTTTTATTCCCTAATGCAAAAAAAACCACACAAAGCAGGGAGCCAACTTGGACAATTTCAGTACTTCTGTGAAATTTAAAGGGTGAGATGCTCTACAGTACAAGTGGCTACAGAGGGCATATTTTAAAGCTGGTTTACTCTTTGCGAATACCTTCATATCCTTAGCCTGGCAACAGGTTCACTTTAATACAAATGCCAACATCATCTGTGCCCTCAGTGGACATGCATGACTGTGGAAATGTCATTATTCGTTTCAGAAAATCAATTTTTATCATCAAGAACAACTGGCTGGGTCATGTCCTTTTCTTGGCGTCAAGATTTCATACAAACTATTTTATATTTCACGTTTTTGCCTCCAGAAGGTGGCAAATGAGGGTCTGGAATGTTGAGATTCCAGATACCAGTTTCTTTATATGCTATAAATATAGACTGATTAGCAGGGTCTAGGATTATACGTAACATATTATAGTGCTGCGACAGAAAGAAAGACAGACAGAAAGACAGAAAAAGACAGACAGACAGACAGACAGACAGACAGACAGACAGACAGACAGACAGACAGACAGACAGACAGACAGAAAGGGTGAGATGCTCTACAGTACAAGTGGCTACAGAGGGCATATTTTAAAGCTGGTTTACTCTTTGCGAATACCTTCATATCCTTAGCCTGGCAACAGGTTCACTTTAATACAAATGCCAACATCATCTGTGCCCTCAGTGGACATGCATGACTGTGGAAATGTCATTATTCGTTTCAGAAAATCAATTTTTATCATCAAGAACAACTGGCTGGGTCATGTCCTTTTCTTGGCGTCAAGATTTCATACAAACTATTTTATATTTCACGGTTTTGCCTCCAGAAGGTGCCAAATGAGGGTCTGGAATGTTGAGATTCCAGATACCAGTTTCTTTATATGCTATAAATATAGACTGATTAGCAGGGTCTAGGATTATACGTAACATATTATAGTGCTGCGACAGAAAGAAAGACAGACAGAAAGACAGAAAAAGACAGACAGACAGACAGACAGACAGACAGACAGACAGACAGACAGACAGACAGACAGACAAACAGTTGTGCTCTGCGAGCGTCACAGCTTTAAAGTCATACCCCATTATGGCCACTAGATGGAGCTGAGCAGCATAGGGAACTCCAATGCCCCTCAGCTCCATCTAGTGGCCATAGTGTGGTACAAATCTAAACGGAGACGTTTGCAGAGCAAAGAGCTCTGCGATCGTTTTATAAATACACTGCATTATATTTATTGTATGCACATAGAGACAGATATTATTTATCTGTATTAAGCTCATTTTTTTATTTGGGCTACTAATTTAGGGGGTAATGTTGTAAATGCTTCATTATATACAAGATCTTTTGCAATTTCACAATATTATTTCATAGGGGATAGGTGCAGAGGCCTTATTGGTTTTTTTTTTTATGAGGATCTAGGATTACACACAAACATACAACTAAGTGACTCAGAGGAAGGACAAACCTCCTCCTCTTATAGTAGATATAGCACCATATAAGTCATCAATCTGTAGGAGAAGTCAACAAGTGCAGAGGTAGTGTTGAGCTGTCAAGTTAGACAGCCCAGCATGCACTGGACATACTGAATCATGGCGGCTGTTTTATTAAATATTTGTAAAATTTAAATAAAATGTAAATGTTATGTAAACAATCTTAATATTGTAGACAATTTATAAAAAAATTAAATAAAAATTGATGATCAATATATTTTCTATTTAAAAAAAAATTATTACAAAAATCACTTCCCAATCAGGATGACCGTGGACAAACCAAGTGATCGTTATAACATCTATGGGTACCTTTAGGCTGCCTACAGAAGGGCAAATTTCTCTCCAAGAATGATGGGTCAAACGGGATCTGCCAGTTGTGCCCAACATGGTGCGCCCTAGGAACTTGCCGCAAAATTGCTCCTCCAGCTCGGCGGCGGGTGCAAGGAAGAGATTGGTCTCTTCTTTCTGGAAAACAGGAACGATTGCCAACAGTCGCAGAGGTTTTCCCTTTGCTGGAAAATCTCTACCAGTGCTAATGAGCACATGCAATGCTTGGAAGTTAAAGGGGTCCAATCATAAACAATACGCAGAGCTCTTTGCCATGCGAATATCTGAGAATGCTTCTTTTAAAATCATAATTTCTTATACTCAGCTCCATCTAGTGGCCATAATGTAATATTACAACACACTACATTTGAACTGGAGAAAACAATATATTAGGAACATTCAGTTTTGGCATTATTCACCCAAAACAAAGGTTCACAGATATTCACAGGGTGAAGGGCAACTGTATGTATTGTTAAACTAAATTGAATGGTTTATAAATAGACCATAGTGTAGTGTATTTATAACCATTTTCTGCCATTTTGAATAGAGCAGTAAGGGGTTAGGACCTCTGTTGGGAGATTCACTCTCTCTTTTAGTCCTGATGACTATTGTCGCCAGGGCTGCAGGCGAGGAACACTCCCAAATTTTGCGTCGCCAACGAACCAGAAACCAGAGGTGAAATCGGTGACAACAGATTGAGAGCATTTCCTCTCCCTTCCTGTTATGCCTCAGACAGGAAGTGGAGGAACATTTCCCCTGATTAGACTCACACAGAAAATGGCAGGGGTTGTAATCACTCACTGCTTCATCCAAAAAAGAAAAATAAGTAGGAAGATTTACTTTAGCAGGATAACCATTTTAATTGAAATTCCTCTCATCATATAATAAGGGGTGTGTGCCGCAGCTAAAAAAATATTATTAAAATAACTTATTCATTCAGAAAGCCGTTTCAGAAGTTGGCAGTCTACAACTAGGTGATGACGTTTCCCCTGAGAGGAAGGACAGGGAGGTGGTGTCTGTGTGGCTCATTTACACAGCAGTACTGATAAACGCTGCAATTTAGTAGTCTTTTCTTTTTTTACTAATGGATCTGAATGAGGTGTATTGTTTGCTATGAGCCCACGCAGCCCATTGGAGCTGCCTGCAACCTAGCAACCAAGGATGCTAAACTTCAGCAGCCCCCCAGTATCCCTCACTGCCAAGATGCAGGTGGCTGCTTGCTGCTTAGCGTCCTTTATTGCTAGGATACAGGTAGTTCTAGCCAAGCTAAACCAAAAATGTCAATCACAAATCAATTTATAACTAGCCTTAAACGCAAGGTGCACATGGTAGAGCTTGCAACAGTACAAAACTACTGTACTAGGGTACTCCTAGCTGCCTAGCATCCCTCATTGCTGGGATGCAGGCTGTCCCTTTCCACCTAGATTCCCTCATTTCTGGGATGCAAGCTGTGTCTTGCCACCTAGATTCTCTCATTGCTGGGGTGCGGGCTGTGCCTTGCCACCTAGATTCTCTCATTGCTGGGGTGCGGGCTGTGCCTTGCCACCTAGATTCTCTCATTGCTGGGGTGCGGGCTGTCACTTGCCACCTAGATTCTCTCATTGCTGGGGTGCGGGCTGTCACTTGCCACCTAGATTCTCTCATTGCTGGGGTGCGGGCTGTCACTTGCCACCTAGATTCTCTCATTGCTGGGATGCAGGCTGTGCCTTGCCACCTAGATTCCGTCATTGCTGGGATGCAGGCTGTCCCTTGCCACCTAGATTCCCTCATTGCTGGGATGCAGGCTGTGCCTTGCCACCTAGATTCCGTCATTGCTGGGATGCAGGCTGTCCCTTGCCACCTAGATTCCGTCATTGCTGGGATGCAGGCTGTCCCCTGCCACCTAGATTCCGTCATTGCTGGGATGCAGGCTGTCCCTTGCCACCTAGATTCCGTCATTGCTGGGATGCAGGCTGTCCCCTGCCACCTAGATTCCGTCATTGCTGGGATGCAGGCTGTCCCCTGCCACCTAGATTCCGTCATTGCTGGGATGCAGGCTGTCCCTTGCCACCTAGATTCCGTCATTGCTGGGATGCAGGCTGTCCCCTGCCACCTAGATTCCGTCATTGCTGGGATGCAGGCTGTCCCTTGCCACCTAGATTCCGTCATTGCTGGGATGCAGGCTGTCCCCTGCCACCTAGATTCCGTCATTGCTGGGATGCAGGCTGTCCCTTGCCACCTAGATTCCGTCATTGCTGGGATGCAGGCTGTCCCTTGCTGTTTAGCATCCCTCATTGCTGGGATGCAGGTGGTTCCTTGCCACCTAGATCCCCTCATTGCAAGGACGCAGGCTGTCCCTTGCCGTTTAGCATCCCTCATTGCTAGGACGCAGGCTGTCCCTTACATCTTTAGTTGCTCAGATGCAGATGGCCCCTTTCTGCCTAGCATCCTTCATTGCTAGGATGTAGACGGCTCAAGCCACCCAGTGTCCTAGCAATCGATAGGGCACCTTTGCGCTATGCACAGTATATGTTGCACAGACATTACATGCGTACACCCTACAAAGCACTTTTTTTATGCAGGATCTCGCTGCCAGCCAGATCCTGTGCACTAATTGCCGTAATTTAATATGGCCATGTGCATGAACCCTGAGGGTGGTTTTCAGGTAATAATGGCAACCCTTACACTACCCCACATCCCGGTCCTTTCTCTGGGAGGTGGTGTCAAGTCAAACTAAGCCATTGTCTATTAAAATGTACGCTGATGTCCTCTTTGTTCAAAGTCTGAAGCCTGCATACACAAGCACTCCAATGTTGCTGCGTACACTTTACATCATGCCAACAATCCCATTTAAAAAATAGTTTTTTCAACCCGCAGGCAGCGCAGCCCGGCTATACATGGAGCCGTATGAGGCCACCATGCCACATGCTAATATTGTCACCACTACACATTATCTGTTATTAAGAGGATTATAGGTCAGGAATTTCTACCAGCCGTGGGACTGTTTGCAGAGGTGTCATCTGTGGTCAGACCCTTCAAGCGCTCCGTCTCTTCTTCCATCTCCCGCACTCGCATCCTGATAGCAGTCAGCTCCTGGAACACACAGAGGTGGTCAGACTGATCCACCATTAACATGACTGCAACTTCACATATGATGAACAGCAGAGTGGTCCTCGTATTAGGAGGGTGTGGAGGACCAATGAGAAGAAGCTACAGGAAACACGGAAAGACCTTCTTCAGGCACTTTCTGATGAGTGGGGACCAGCGTCACCTCACCAGATTTATTCGGTCATCTTTGCTTGCCCCTTGGTTACATTTTGGACCTACTGTATACTGTATGAGAACGGGTGAACATACACCCAATTTAAACACCCCATAAATCAAAACTCTGATAAGAGTGGCTACACCCCCCAAATTTTATTTTTCAGAACTATGTCCCTACTGGGAAGAGATCTCACTTCCTGTCCTGATGTATACTAAAGAAGTAGTGCTAGGCCGTGCCTGTATACTAAAGAAGTAGTGCTAGGCCGTGCCTGTATACAAAAGAAGTAGTGCTAGGCCGTGCCTGTATACAAAAGAAGTAGTGCTAGGCCGTGCCTGTATACAAAAGAAGTAGTGCTAGGCCGTGCCTGTATACAAAAGAAGTAGTGCTAGGCCGTGCCTGTATACAAAAGAAGTAGTGCTAGGCCGTGCCTGTATACAAAAGAAGTAGTGCTAGGCCGTGCCTGTATACAAAAGAAGTAGTGCTAGGCCGTGCCTGTATACAAAAGAAGTAGTGCTAGGCCGTGTCTGTGTATAAAAGGCCGAAAATATTTATAAACAGTAATAAAAGCAGCAACATTTACATTTCCTGCATTGTATACATGTGAGGACGGTCACCGGAGAACGATGGAGGGAAGGGGGCTCAGTCAGCTCTCTGGTGAAAGGATTTGTAGTCAGGGAGGTGTAAAAAAAAAATACAAGGCGACTTTCATGATTTTTGGGTGAGTTGACTTGTCTGAGGTGAGGCCTCACACTGGGCTATATCTAGGGTTGCCACCTTTTCTTCCAGTGAAACCCGAACACTCTAGCGACGCACGGAAATCTTTTGGGGAGAATGAGTCGCGCCTTATTCATATGTAAATAGCTCCACCCATTCATATCTAAATATCACAGTTGAGACTATTTTTCAATGGGGGGCCAGTAGCCCCTATCTTAATTTTGGTTGCCCCTGTCTGCCTGACATCATGTGTCCGGGTTTCAGCTGCCATGAAACCCGGACACAGCATTCAAAACCCGGACTGTCCGGGTGAATCCTGGACAGGTGGCAACCCTAGCTATATCCAGTGTATACAATTGTGTTATATCTGACTCTGAACCCACAAGACCAATGTCACCCATAACACTCACAGGATCATCGGGGTCACACTGGTCGTCATGGTCACCGGGCCTCGGCTCTTGCTTGGGAATCCTGTCAGACATGTCCCACGTCACATCCCACTGAGGAGGCAACCGGCCGTGGTCAGCCCACACTCTGCTACAGCTCAGGCCTGCAAATGCACACGTCATTAGACACGAAACATACAAACAATGCTTTTAAATAAGAAGGTGTAGCGCGTTTTTAGCGAGTACATTTTCCTGTCAGGGCCTAGTCACACTAATGACACTAATGTGTTGTGGGGCCATTCATTTTCAACAGCACACAAACGCACCTGGGCTGCAGTTTTGATTTTGATAAAGTAGGGAAGGGTTAAAACACCTATGAGGTGATATTTCTGTCACTAAACACACTTCCTGTCTCCATAGATACCGTACATTACTGTGAGCGAGCATGGTCACCTGAGGGCAGGAAGTGTGTAAGTGGCAGCAACTCCAGATGAAAATAAAAAGCAAAAAAAAAAAAAAGAGCCTTAAAGCAGAAAACTAATTTAGCCACAATGTATGTGACC